AAAGGGGAAAAAGAAAATAAAAGAAAAAAAAAGACACATGGTTGGTCTCAAAAATATCCGATCCCCCCCCTGAATAACTAACTTTTCACGTTTCATGCACGTTATTTCCTTCTTAAATAAAACTAGGCCTAATTGTTATGAGAATTGAACGATAAATGTATATGCTAAAAATTAATATATCAAGTTGCTTTTCCATTCGACAATATATACGATTTTTCATATAATAAAATGTATATCTAATATTGATCGGATATTTTTGGGACCAATTGTATCGTAACAGTTTTTTTTTTTTTTTCTTCTCTCTTTTTTTGTACAAAATGCAAAATAAAACAAATTTCTTTCGAGAAGAAAAAAAGAAGAATCTCTTTCAAAAGTTCCCGGATTATTTATTGAGTTAAAATCCATAGATCGTTATCGCGAGAAAAAAAAATACGAAAAAAAAAAAAAAAAAAAAAAATAAAATCGGAACGAAACGAAATGATTCATTGGACGATTTCTTTTTTCTCATCTATCCTCGTTCGACTGGTTCGACTCGTGCGACTCGTTCGATCCTATCGTGAAATCTTCCATCGAGGATTTGTTCAAATCTATGGAAGCAGTGTTTCTCGAGACTTCGGAAATTTTGGTATAAGTCGAGTCGAAACTGTCGGTCGTTTCCACAAATTGCGTCGAATTCGACGGTTGCCAGGTCTGTTCCACGGCCAACCTAACCTCTTCAACCTGCTCGTTTTGCTTGGAAAAAATAATTTGTTCGGAAACGTAGTGTTGCTCTTCTGACTCTTCGTGTTCCACTGGAATTTCGTAGAAAACGGACAATTCTGATTTTCTTGGACTATCTTTTCGATTTACAGCGTTATTCGTTTGAAATTGTTCTTTCTCGCTCTCTATTTTTACCTTCGCGTAAGAACTGTACAATGTGTCTTCGAACAACTTCGTTTCATTCTCGTGTTGCAAAGATTTTGTCGAACTCGAATCATCATCTTTGTATCGAAGTGTTTTTATCTCTTCCTGCGCAAGACGCAATTCTAACATTTTGAAATCAGGTTCGATGAATTGAAGTTTATTTTCCTTTTCGTAAAATTCAATTATATTCATTTGGCTGCTATTCCTGACTAGGCTGTAATGCGGAGAGAGCGATTCTAATTTCTCATCCGAACAAATATCTATTTCATCTTGTAATTGAATATTCGATGAATTATTAATCAAATTATTATCCGACATGAAAATTGAATGAATTTCAATCGTTTTCACTTCGTTTCCCATCTCTTTTGAACTGTGCTCATGTATCATCCTTAAATTAGTCCAGGACACAGGTTTATGCACGCTGGGATCGAAATTGAACTCTGAATCGGTGAAACTAGAAATTTCTGACGTTTCGAGATCGATGATACTTTTCAACGAATCACGATCGATCTCTTTTTTCTCTTCGTCCAGCTTCTCCTCTTCTTCATTTTCTTTCTCTTTCTTAATTTTCTTTATAAGCCTCGAATTTTTTAAGAATGTAGTCGTCGACGTTGGTATTGCGTGAATTTCAAAAGGTTTTAAACTCGACGAGGACGCGGGAACTTGTTTAAATGTAAATATTTCATTGTAATAATATTGAATATAAAAGTACAAGACAACTAGTCCAAAAGTGAAGATGGTGTACAAAGATAATTGTTCCTCTTCTTTAATAACCTCCTCTTTAATCTCCTCTTTCATCTCCTCCTCTTTAACCTCCTCTTTAAGCTCTTTTTTAAACTCTTCTTTAACCTCCTCTCTAATCTTAAAATCTGAATTTATATCGATATCGATATTATTTTCTTCGCATTCGTACATCTCTTCGTCTGTCGTTCGCAAATCGTTTTTCTCGTTCTCTTCATCATCCGTTAATTGGATATTCTTGTCGACATAAATTTCTTTAAAACTCGTATCATTGATGTTTTCTTCCATCATTTGATACGCGACATCTTCCTCAACCTCGACGTGTTTATGCTTCCACATTTCTTTAATTTCTTTAAGATCTACGATATCTTCGATTGCAATAATTTCTTCGCTCTTCTCGACGATTTTCTTCGTTTCTTCATCGTCGATAATTTCATTTTCTTCGTGAATTTTTTCCAATATTCCATAAGTTATACAATGTTCTATCGGAAGTAAATTCGTTCTGAAACAAGTAAGTTTATCATAACTGTCCTCCTTCAAAGAAAACAAATTTATTTTACTAAGTTCTGTTTCCTTAAGCATAATATCAAGCTCTCCGATTTCGTTATTTTCGATAGATGGAAGATCAGGTATTAAATCAGTCCATTTGACTACGATAGGGAATTTAATATTTGTGAAGATATCTTCTTTAATGAACTGCAATATCTTATTTTCTTCCTGTATTTGTTCCTCCATTTCTTCATTCTTTTCTTCTTCATTTTCTTCCTCAATTTCTTCTATCATATCCTCTTCATCGTTCGAAGGTTCTCGAAAAATCTCGAACAATCTAAAGATATCCTCCAAATTGTATCCACGATCATTCAAATTCCTTAAGATTCGAATCATCATCAAAAGCTCGTTTATTCTAAACTCGGTATGTTCGACTTCATCATCGTCATCAAACTCGTCCGTAGCCTCCATTTCGATAGGCAAATCTTCGTGATCGATGGTAGTGATGTATAAATCGCAAATACCATCTTCCTGATCCTCTTCGTCCAAATTTTGAAATTGTCGTATGGTAGTAAAAATAGCATGATGATGTTCATAAGACATTGGAGGAAGTTGTTCCATGGCAAGACCCATGAATTCTCTGTCAGATTGAAAAATAAATTCATCGATTGGATATTCCAATGATCTATTTAAAATATCGTCAATTGTTAAAATTTCTCGAGGGAAGTCTAACGAAGCGTTAAACGATTGGTAAGAGAACACGTTGTGGAGCATTCTAATAGTCTCGCCATCTATCATCAGAATTTCTCGGAAGAAATCGAAAGAAGTATCTACAGATCGATAAGAAAAAGCGTTATGAAGCATTCTAATTGTATCCTCATCCACTATGTCCCATGGACGTGGATTTCCCCTTGGAGAGTTAGAATTGCTTAAAATGACACCATTACCGACGTAGCTCATGTTAATGTTCCGCCTAAAATTTCTAAAATTTGACGAAGTTTGTCTTATTTGAGGTTCACTTGACATTACTTCGAGGCTACTTCTTCTGATTTCTTCTATTTCTTCTCCATTTTGAACCTCTTCTTCAAAATCGATACATTCTGTACAAGATATTTGAAGAATATCCTTTGAAATGTTTTCCTTTATTTCTTTCTCTTCTTTATTTTTCGAAACTTTAGAATTATCAATTTCTTGTTTATCGACTTCGATTTGTGATCGAATCGGTTCAATTTCTTCTTTGAGATCAATATTTTTTTCGATTTTTTCTTTGTGATCAACATTTCTTTCGATTTCTTCTTTGTGATCAATATTTTTCTCGATTTCTTCTTTGAGATCAACATTTTTTTCAATTTCTTTTTTGAGATCAACATTTTCTTCAATTTCTTTTTTGAGATCAACAATTTTTTCAATTTCTTCTTTGAGATCAACATTTTCTTCAATTTCTTTTTTGAGATCAACAATTTTTTCAATTTCTTCTTTGAGATCAACATTTTTCTCGATTTCTAACGTTGATTTCATTTCTTCTTGGTGAGGTTCCATTTTGGATATCAATTTATTTTCTTTATCTACTTTATTTTCCATTTCTAAGATTGGTTTCATTTCCGTTTGATCTTTTCTTTCCGATATTAATTCTATTATGTTTTCATAATTTACAATTTCTGAAGTTGCCTCCTCTTCATCTTTATAATCAAGTTCTTGTACTGATTCGACTTTAAACATCTGGCTTGGAAATTGAACTTGATAATCTAGAAAAAGAACTGGATATATTATTGAACTATAACTAAAATTACTCAGGATTTTTGGATAAATAAGTCATTAATTTTAAAAGATCAATTCTATTAAAAACAAATATAAAAGTTTACAAAAATATCAGTTAGAAGTTATTTAGCTTTATTAAGCTATGAACAATCTAATTTTGTGCCAAATATATATACTTGTATATATATGAAATCACCAATCATCATTAGTAATATATTGTAGTAATGTTTTCTCAATGAAAATTTTAAAGATAATATCTTATATTATTTGATTATTATTTTATTATATAAAATCTCATAAAAAACAAGTTTTAAAAATTTTATAATTTTAAATAAAACAATACTTGCCATGTAGTTGTGGTTCTTTTGTATTCTGATCAATACTGTTAGAGGACCATGATGAAGTAACTTTTTGAAAGATAGTAGATTTTATTGTTGTCAGTAAATTGCCAGTTTGTGCACCGAAATCCACACTTTCCAGTAACGAAGTTTGCTTATTATGGTCTCCCTTAATCGAAGGTCCCGCGATATTTGCGTTGTCTGTACGAGATTCGAGAGAGAGTAATTGATCCGTGTCATTAGATGACACTTCTGTATTCTCCAAATAATCTCTGACATTTTCCTTGGCAGGTGTCCTCTCCAATTCACGACCTTTCTGCGTACCTTCTAACTTTTTCATAGATAGTATCGAAGTATAATCATCTTCTGGCAATTTTTTCGGTTGCTATACTTAGTATATTGTTTTCTTATATCTATTTCACCAGTTTGTTTGTTCTTCTTCGTATGTTCTTGCTTCGCTTGTCCACCATGCAGCCTATCAAAATTATCTAATAGCTTGTCAGTCACTTTGTTGACTTTAGACAATTTCGAGCAAGAATACTTCTCGTTTGAAACGTTATGAATTTTCACACTTGGCGTTTTAATAGGGATAGGGATATTGAATAACGGTTCTGTTTCTGTCGTTGCATCCACAAAGTTTTCTTTGTCTACATAATCATCGTGAAAACGTTCATAAAACGATTCTATATTTTTATGAATATTTTTCTTCGAACGCTCAGATAAGTTACTCTTCTTCGAAGAAGAAAATCGATCTTTGGAACTTTCAGGATTGGCATCAGGATTGATGCACTTTCCTGAGGATAGTTTCTTTTTAGCTTCCAATTCTTTCTTATATTTAACCAAAGTGACTTCATTGTAAGCTTTTAGAGCTCTCATTTCTCGAGCCTCCCTATCTACCAACGATTCTATTTTATTCTTCCAGTTGAACTTTTTCGTATGAGACGATTGTTTTTCCGTTGATTTCTTAGACGTTTCCAAAAGCTTTTTAAACGGTGATATTTTTTTCGAATTTGTGTTAGATGCATTGGATTGAATGGAAAGTTCGTTTTTAGTTTTCTTTGGATACATAGGGGGCTTCTTACGATAGATCATCGCGTCAAACATCGATGGACGAACTACCTGTGACAGTGGAATTGTGCCAAATGTTTCCACTTTACATTTGGTGCATTTTTTAATTTCTTCTTTCTTTGATTCTGAAAGCGAATGCATACTGTCTGTCATTTTGCACATGCAGATGTTCTCGTCGGATTGACACTTCATCAAGCTGGACTGTTTCTTTTGATTTAGATTAGATTTTTGATGTGTAAGAGATTTAACATGATCCTTTAAGTATATCGAACTTCGCGATTCGATTCTGTCGTCGTGCATACTAATGTTAGAAATGTTCCTTGATTCTTTTCGTTTGCGTGAGAAGAAAAATTTCTTGCGTAATTTTTTTCCATTCGTGAGGCTGAGGTTGGAGGAGCTTTTTACCGGCTTATTGCCGGTTTGCGTGAAGACATCCTTCATGATACTAATGGAACTGGACTTCTGAGAATCATACGAGTTATTGTCAAAAAATGGCTCGTTCACTTGTACAATTTGTGATGCGTGGTGTTCACTTGTGGAAGATTTTGTTCTTGATTCGTATCTGATAAAAATAATAAAATTTGTTTAGAAATAAAGAGCTTTAAAAATTATTTATGTTATTAATATGTGATATATAAAAAAAAATTATTCGAATATGATACTTTTAAAATTGGATTATAGATTTTTTTATATCGATTATTATAGATAAAGTAATAAGTAATAATATATTTATGAAAATTTATCTATTATGTTTTGAACTGATTTATGAATGATATTGTCATATTGATTTAATCATAAAAAATTTCCAAACCAATTAACTTTTTTGATCCTTTTTTTCATAAATATTGCTATGTATTACACGTATAGGATAATTTTAAATATTTTGACTATTATAAATAATAGAATCATATTTATAATTATTCATGAATTAAAAATTACAATCATATTTTTTTATAAAATTTTTAAATTAAAAATTCTTGTATTTAAATTTAAATTATTGGATTTATAATGCTATTAAAGCTGAATTTATTTATATATATTGTTGATAAATTTTATGTAACATAGATAATAAAACACACAATTTAAAATTTTTTATAAAAGTCTTTTTTAGATGCATATAATTTGCAAAATAAGAAGAACAAATAATAAGAAAGGATAGGATAAAAATGAAGAAATTATTCGTCTCCAGAATATCACAAATGAAACATAATAAAAAAAAAAAAATAAGAACAGAAGAATAAAAATAAAAATTAGCGCCATCTCTTGATTATTAAAGACATTTCTTCATAGATTGAGTAGGTAGAGTAGATAGAGTTAATAATCAACGTTATCTTTCGAATATCTTTAACATTCAAGAGATGGCGTTAAATTGCAATTCTTATCTTCATCTTTTTTTTACTATTTGTTCTTTTTGTTTATTATTATTGTCGCATAGACAACATAGACAAGATATCAAATTTTAATTTTGAAAATTACAATATATTATAATTTTTAATTTACGATTATTTTAATGCATAGCACGATTACCACTGCTTATTTAAACAAAAAATTATTTTCAATTTTTTATAAAAATAAAATTTCAATTTCAATCATTATTCCGAGAAAAATCGATAATATTAACAATAATATTAAAATAATGTTCATAAGATAAAAAATGGATTGTTATTAAATTTATTTTGCATCTTGTCTACGATAATATTAATATTAAAATATAATATATTTCAAGTATTTATATTAACAATGAAAGCTTCTGAATTCTTGCGTACCTTTTTATCCTATCGAAATTACTAACAGAAGCAATTTTTGAATCTTGTATTTGTATTGAATGATCTTTTTGATTTAAAGGTATTAATGATGATATTAATACGTCCTGATCAGATTGATCAGGATACATACTCCACTTCTTATCTAATTGTTGAAGCAAACATTGTAATTCTGAATTATTGGCAAAATCTTTTTCATAACAACCATCAAAAACTTTCATGGAACCCTGGAAGAACTTTTGAATTTTCGCATCTCCGAATGAATATTCTGGTACATTCATTTTATTAGGCATGTTTATACTTAATGTATTTTTCACAACATTCAATTTGCTATTGCTCAAATTGTTCTTCTGAATAGAATTTACATAACT